TTTGCCTCCTAGCTCTTTCCTCTATTTCCTTTTCCTTTTCTCTTGCCTCACTATCATGCTCAGCCTTCATTTGGGTTACAGTAATTTTTCTCAGTTACATTACCCTTGATCACACCCTACCAGGCCTCCTACATCCTTCTCACCACCAATTTGGATCACTTGTTGTTCCCTTGTCCCTGGGGTTGTTAACACCCACTCCCTTTTCTCCCACCCCACCCCTGATGTCGGCCGTCCCACTTTTCATGCCAGTATTAATGCACTTGTGCTCCCTTTCCCCTCTCCTGACTTGACCCTTGCATCAGTATCCCTCATCCCTCTGATAGGGCTGTCTCCCTATCTGGGGGGACCTCTTTATGTCCCCCATCATGGCTTTGCATGGCAGTCATTCAGTAGACTCCCCTCCCTCTCAACAATTTGATCCTAGCTGACATGACATCCCCTCTTCCAAAGTGACCTTCAAGATACATACCTAGATAGGATGATGTAATGTTCTTTGGCACCGGTCAGACTCTCTGCCAGGCTGTCTGGCCACAGTGTCCAACTGATTAGGTGCCCTGCAGGCCTAAGCTTGTGCCCATCCTGTTACTTGATCCTATAGCAGTGTGATTGACTAACTTCGCTCAGCATACTATTTCTAGATCCCTCCTTGTTTTTAGGTATTTCAAGGTTTCATCTCTGTTTTTTAGGGATGTAGAGAATTTCACTATGTGTATATTCCAGAGAATTATTTATTTATATTAAGTACTTTCATTGGGGGCTCTTACAGCTCTCATCACAATCCATACATTCATCCATTGTGTGAAGCACATTTGTACATATGTTGCCATCATCATTTTCAAAGCATTTTCTTTCTACTTGAGTCATGGATATCAGCTCCTCATTTTATTCCCTCCCTCCTTCCCTCATGAACCCTTGATAAATATTAGATTATTATTTTCATATCTTACATTGTCTGTGTTAGACAGGGTTCTTTAGAGAGATAAAATCAAATAGCTGATAATTTAATATATTTACTTATAAAGATAACTAGATAGATAACAAGAAATGAACTGTTAAATCATATACAGATAAATATATAATACAAGAAATAAACAGTTAAATTACAAAGCACTACAAATGGCTCAATGCAACTCACTCCCGTGAGAGAG